CCTCTTGTTTTAAGCCTGCGGATCTGAGACTTCGTCCAGGCATCAAGCAGACACGACGCATAGACATCCTTCCTGGCTTCTGGCGGTTCTGCTGCCCCCGTCCGAGTTTGAGTTGATAAAGGGCCCCTGTGAGTGTGTTGGAGTGCTAGGGGGCCCCCACGGCTTTGCCGGCTGTGCCCCCTTCATCCGACCCTTTGTGCACACGAGCCCTGTGATCCCACCGAAGACAGGTGAGGACAAGGTGGATGCACCTCTTTCTCAGCACGGTGGCTCGCCAATATTGAGGCTTGTTCCCAGCCCACAATCACAAGTGTACGGGCCGTGTTGTTGCCCCTGACGAAGATGGCTGTTCGGTCCCCCTTCAAAAAAACTCAGCAAGGTTTCAGCTCACTGCTTAGGGCGTGCGTGAGCACTGCAGCGCGCCGCAGCGTGCCAGTGGTGCGGAAGCTTCAGCCTGTGACTTTGTGTGGCGTGGCTGCCCTTTGCCCGCGCTGCCTCCCAATCCTCCGCCCGAAAGTTTTGGCGACCACGAAGCCCAAGCATGAAGTCCAGACCGCAGCGCCGCAGCGGCAGAGGGCCTGGGGCAGGAGGCGAAGTTCAGTGATGTTCCGTGGGTTTTCTGAGATGGGTGTGTCCTGGATGCTTTTCTTGGGAGCGGCCGGAGCCAGCCTGAGACCTTGCCACCTGCATTGATCCTCTGAGGGGGTCGCAGCGCTTATGCCCAGGTGCCAAATCCCAAAACACTGCTCAAAACTTCAGAGCTGTGCAAGCTGCACAAGCTGCGCCAGCCTTACGTGTGTGCGACAGGAGCTGTATGCGCGCTGGCGGCTCATCCATGACCCCACACGGCGCTTCTCTCGCCCATTCTTCCGGTTGCGTTCGGACACGAACGAGTGTTTGCCCAAGTTGATGCCTCTCCTCGTTAGCGTGGTCGCGCCGTCGGATGATGTCCGAAGCCAGGCTCTTGCCGATGTAAATGCGAAGGCACTACCCTCACCACCCCAGTGCCCCCAGCCTGCGAGTGGCTTCTGATTGGCGAGTTGTGTTGGCCCGAGGCCTGCCACTATCAGGCACTGGCTGCCGTGTGGCGGAGGGCTTTGCTCGTGCTTCGTTCTGGGTTCGTTTCCCATATGCACATGATGACAGCACCTTGTGCAGGTGCCATGGAGGCTCCCCCTTCAGCGTGCTGCGACGTCACGACACACCAAATGCGCAGGCAGCCCCTAGCGGCCCTAGTGCTTGCATTGCCTGGAAAATGAGCGTTCCTTCTGAGTCACGTCTGAGTCGGATCTTTCCTCCCAAGCAAATGTCACATGGAGCTCCTTCCTGGCTTCCGGCGATTCCGCTGCCTCTGACCGAGCTTGTGTGTATAAAGGGAAGCTGTGTTGCTATTGTAGAGCTGCTAGGGGGTCTCCGCGGCTTTGCCAGCTCCAACTTCATCCGGCCATTTGGCACCATTTCGCGGAAGATGGGGTCTGAGTCAGCATGTTTGAGTCGAATTTTCGCCCATCTGAGCTCCCCGACTTGTGCGCTTAGTTCCTTTGGTTTTGTGAGCCCCGGTGAGGCCCCTCAAATGGAGTTGGCTGCCCTGTAGGGCTCCTCCTGCTCCTCCTGCTCCTCCTGCACGGGCTGTGGCTCAGGTCCCTGAGGTCCCTGAGGTCCCTGAGGTCCCTGCCCTTGCCCTGCGAAGCCTTGCGTCGCTCAAGCCGCTGCACTTCTCCGCACGCCCTCTCCTTCAAGCTCGCGTCTTTCGCGTCTTTCCCAGCGGGGCCTCCGAAGCTTCTTCTGCGGAAGATGGGGAGATGCGGCCTCGCATGTCTGCAAGATCAGCAAGGCTCCTCGAAGATTGTTGCTCTGGTCGCTGTCGCATGCAACGCACGTACCTTCCACAGGCCCGTCTGCGCACTTGAAGCCTTGCTATGAGCACTCTTTCTTATTCCAGGGTAGTCAAAGCAGTGCGAGGGCCAAGCGCTCAGGTACTTCAAATCGTGGGTTTTGGAGTGGGTTCCTGCCAGGTTCAAGGGCTCCACTGAGCTTCAAAGGCTCGATATGCTGAAACCGTCTCTCCAGCAGCCATGCATTCAACACACCTGAGGCTCATTATTGTTTTTGAAGGTGGGACACAGCGACGCTGTGCGGTGCGCAGGTGGAAATCCGTGGCCAAGCCGATCCAAGCCGGCAGCACTCCAGCGACGTGAGCACTTGAGCTGAAGATGCCTCGGCGTGGGGTGCCCTTTGGGGCCCCCGGGCCAAGATGGCCCGTCCCAGCTCTGGAACAAAGATAAGCCACAGCATGGCAGGCAACTTCCGATGCCCGCACGGCCAAGACACGTCACCGAGTCAAGTTGTGTTCAAACCAAAGTTATGCCCTGAACCCTGAGACCCTAAGAGCCTGACCGTCTGACCGTCTGCGCTACACACGGCAGCCTCGACCAATTCGCCCAAGAGTTCTTTGCCGGGCTTTGCCGAGTTCGATAGGCAAGGGCAGCTGGCACCAAGTCTTGGCTCTCTCGGCCAGTGTGATGCTACAGCACGTCATGCGACTCGCGGGGGGACGCGGGGCAGGGACTCCGAGTTCCAGTTGAGGGCTCCAAGGAGCCTGCGATATCCCAGCATGCCTGGTAGGCCTTTGAACCTCCGCTGTGCAGATGCAGCGCCGCGACAAGGACGGGCCTGGACGTGCAGCAAAGCGATGGGATGACGATTGGGTGTCTTCCGGGGTCTCCGAGCACTTTCTGGGACCCTGGTTGCAACCTTTCATAGGAGCCGGCCTGAGACCTTGCCACCTGCAGTGATGTTTCTGAGGGGTCACAGCGGTAGTGCACGGGGTGCTAAAGCTTCAATTGCTGCGACATGCGCCAGCCTTGCGTGGACAGCATGCGCGCTGGCTGCCGATCCATGACCTCCCCCACCCCTGCCCTCGCCCGTGCTCGGAGCGAGGTGGAGAGTTTCTGCCTCTCCACGTTGGCGCATTTGCGCCTTCGACTATGATGCCCGCAGCCAGCCTGTGAACGCGAAGCCACTGCCCCGATATCCCCCTCAGCCCACGAGTTGCTTCTGATCGGCGAGGCCCGGTGGCCCCAAGTCTGCCACTATCAGGAGCTGGCTGCCGCGCCTTGGGGGTGCGCCCCGGCTTTCTTAAGGAGGTTCCCCTAGGGAGAATGCCCCTTGTGTACTTACATAGTCCACCTGCCTCGTCCTTCATCAACGCTTTGGCGTCAGTGGGGGGGCATCGGGGATGTTCAGCTCTTTGAAGCCTTGGAGGCTTCAAAGGGGGGGAACCCTGAAACCGAAACCCGGACCGGAGGTTTGAGCCTGAGCTACTTCCTTGGCAACCATCTCATGTGTAATCGTGGTACTGTGCAGCTTGCACGAAACCAGCAACATTGCTGTACTGCCCCGAAACATCAGTCCCAGATGGCCACAGTGCTATACTGTCCAAAAAACCTCGTCAAACAACACCAGAGAAATTTCTCGAGCCCCCAAGGCCTTCCAGCAATAAACTCCAAAACCTAAACCTTATCTGAGTTTTTATGTCCTTCTTTTGGTTGTGGTACTCTCTAAGAAGAATGGAATCTGACAAGGTTAAACCACCAAAACACAGGGACCCTACCTCTGGAGCAAGGCAGCATGGTGGAACCTCGTGTTAGCTACTGCAGCTACCGCGGAGTCTTCCCTCTGAGCCTCTCCTCACCCTGCATCCTCTGTGTTGAGGGGATGGTCGGACCTCTGGCGTGTCGATTCCCTGGGAGCCCGCCAGCCATTCCTTTTCCACTGCCTTCCCTCTTTGCTGCACCGGCGCTTGTCACCTGCAGGGCTCTCCCGAGCGTGTTTTCTTCGCGGTCTGCACTTCGCCTGCCTTGACTGTTTCCAGCTGGGTGCCTTGGAAGGGCAGGCACTGAAAGTCCATCGCCTGATATCCGCCCGGGCCAAAACCTCCCAGCGTCGCAAAGACACCCCATGGCTTTGCCGCAGTGAGCTTTCATGGCAGCTGGCTACAGCACGGCCCGCTACCGGTGCCAAGCATGCAATCTCATGCAACCTTTGTCCCCGTCCGATGCGACGTGCTGGCTGGGTTGGCTCAGGTTCCGACTGCAGAACTCCAGGCGGAGCTGGTGTCGATGAGTCCCTGGCGTTTAGCCGGGCTTGCAGCTTGACAAAGGGTTTAGGGGGTCTGGGATGAGGCTCTTGCGTTTGGGTCGCAGGAGTTTGGGGATGTTTAGGGTCCTTTCGCATACTCCAGGCCTGCAGCCCTGGCAGGAGCCGCCAGACGCAACGCGCGCGGGCCAAAACCTTGCTGCGCACGTGCTGCGCAGCCGTTCCGACTTCGCGCGCCAGAGTCTGGAGCGCCCAGGCCAACCGATCGCAGGGCAGCACAATGCCGGAGAGCTGCGTGCGGACAGCACACTGACAGCATCCTGATGCCACGACCTTCGCTAGCGGCGCATCTTTCCGTTTCTTGCAGCGGTTCTCCAAAACATGCAATGCCAGCAGCTTTGCATGGAAAGAACATCCGTTGGGGCGGGGGGGGGGGTGCCTGAAGGAATGTGGGTCAATGTGGGTCGAACATGGTCTAACATGGCACCTGAGGCTGGGAGTCACCCCTTCCACACCCCTTCCACTCTCTCCACTCTCTCCACTCTCGTTGTTTGCTGCACCAACACGGATGATGTGTAGGTAGTGTAGGTCTCATAGTTTGGGGCAGCAAGTGGCAGGAATGAAGATGCTCCAGTGATTTGTCTGACGTGTGCATGTGCTCTTTTGCAAGAGCGACAAAGGGCCTCGGCTAGGACGAAGCTCACGGTGCTTTTGCGAAGCTTTGCAGCTCTGCAGCACTAGCTGCTACCCGCTGCTTCCAACGCATGCCACTCAGAGCAGCTCCAGAACGTGCCCCCCTAGTGAAGATGGGCGCCTGACTCGTGACGAAGAGGAAGCCTACTTAACAGAAGCTGAGACCCACATGAAGCCCTGATCATGGTCACAAGGATCCTCCTCCGACTCTAGCAGCATCGACGATGGGTTGCCCATGTTCTTCCTCCGGCAGCCTCCTCTTGAGGGCCTCCTGTTCGTTGCGACCACAATTTCAAGCCGACTTGAGCTTCGCCCGCCTTGCGAGAACCAAACTGCAGCCCCTCCGTCCCTCCTCTCGCCTCCTCCGCATCCACTGACTGAAGGGCCGCGTTGGCAGCGCCCGTTTCTGCGGTGACTGCCGGGATCGTTCGACCACGGGCGCCTTCTGTGCCGGAGCTCTGGGCAGAGCAGACTGCGTGACCGCGTGCTGCAAACTCCATCTCCAGGAGCTCATCCTCTTGCCGTGGAGGCTTCGGCGGTCCGGGATGTTTGAGAGAAGCTGAAAAGCTCGAAGCCCTGTAAGATCTTCGTTTGGCTCGAAGCACGCTGAATGATGTCAGCAACATTGATCAACATTGGAAAGGGTGGGGAAACAGGCTGAAAGGTTGTTGAGGGCTTTCTGCGGGCCCGGCAGGGCTGCCCTCCCAGTTCTCTCGGTGCAGATTCGCCTCGGTTCTCCTGCACATGGCCCTAAACCCGATTCGCTGCCCTCTCTTCTGGCGAGAGAGTTATGCTTTCAACTTCGTCGCTGTGAGCCTAAGGAGAACAGAAGCCCCGCAGGCGGCATCGGTTCCAAAATGACGGGTTTGTGCCAGTTCGGTGACTGCGACGAGGCTTTGCTGCGCAGGTCTTTTGTGAGGAGAGCCAGGGCAAACGGGCTCGAGAAGAGCTGTACGTGTGGTCCATGTTTCTGCTTCTGAGGCCCCAAAACTACCTGGAAGTGAACAAATCGCGAAAAGTTTCTCAACAGCCCTGCACCAAAGAAGTTGCGAAGTGCCCGTTCTTGATCCACAGCCCACCCAGCACCTCCAGAGCTTCGGGAACTCAGTGTGTGTATTTCGGGGAATGAACCCGAAACCCTCAGCCCCCCTAAAACCCTAAAACTAGTTTAGCCCAGGACTTTGCAGAGCCGCCCCCCACAGACTCGGGGATGCTGGGAACCCTGGGCAGTACTGAGTACCTAACAGAGGCGCCCCTTAGAGAGGCCTGTGCCGTGACTGTCCGCCTGAGGTCTCTCTCTTGGTCTTGTGGAGGGGGGGGGGCCTAGCTTCGCGCGAATAGCGCGTTGCGCTCTGTCTCGCTGAGCCTTCAAAGCCTTAGCCGCTGTGGGGCGCGGCACGCAGCTGCGACTCCGGACGGGACGCTTGTTGCTGTTGCGCCCTCCCTTCTGAGGCTTCGCCTTTTGCTCCTTGTCGTGGCCTTCCTCTCAGCCTCCGCTCTGGCCTATGACCATGTCACGGCAAAAAACTTTCGGAAACCTGCACTTTTGTCCGACTCCTGCAAGCTGCGGCATGAGAAGCAAGGCGGAACTTGCGACAGGAAGGCTGAATTGTAGAGGCTGCAGGCCCTGCCACCTAGCTCCAAGAAACTCCCGCAGCTCGCTCGCGGCCGTGCTCGCAGCCCCTGCCGTGCCCACTCCTCGGCTCTCGGACCGTCGAAGCTCTCGGAGAGAAGCACCGTTGGCCTTGGTCGGCTTCCTTGCCTTTCTCCTCGTTTTGTGTTTGAGGCGCGGTTTCTGCCGAGAAGCTCATGAGCAAGAGCGGCAATGCCCATGCCGGGCCATCACCACAAGGCCGAGTGCCGGCTTCGCTGCTTGGGGGCGGGAGGTTGGAACGGCTGGATCGGTTGGAATGGGCTGAAGCCGCAGTGCCGAATCTAGTGTCCGAACGCAGCAGTGGCTCATCAGCTCGTGCTTGGGCAAGTTCATTATCATGGCAACCTGCGGCATTCAAGATGTTTCCGAAGCAGATGTGTGCTTCTACTGTCTCCGACCCGAAGAATTCGGTGACGCGACCATGTTGGTCCTCGTTTAATGAGGAGGGCTTGATCCGAGAGCAGTCGAAGGAGTGACAGCGCACAGACCGTGGTCGTGAACCCCAAAAGACTTGCAGGTGAGCTCTCTGTGCGTGGCTTCATCAATTACACACTCAATTTTGACTTATGAACGCTTCCCACCGCCCCAGTGCTGCTCCACTCGACGGCTGAGCATGTAGCGAGGCGGGAACTAGGGAGCTAGTCCTCCCGAAGCCTCCGCATCGAAGCTGCCTCACCGTCACTCCTCGCTGTCGCCAGGCGTGTCCACGCCCACGCAACGCGCGCCAGCTGCTTCCAGAAGCGCTGTTGCTTCTTTAGATCCTTGCATCTGGCCAAAATGAGCCCCGCGCTCTGCTGCGATGCTTTAAGATGCGGCCGGCGCTTCAGCATGCCTGCAAGGGTTCGCAGCCGGAAGTCACTTGCTGGCTTTGCAGCGTGCCATCTTAAAAGTGCCCACTGTTGTCGCTCATCCTGAACTGCATGTGGAAAGGGTGAAGGAAGCGCTTGTAGCGATCTAGCAACAACGACACGAGTTCACTGTGGACCACTGCAGGTGCTGACAGCTCCGTGCGCTACACTGCGCACCTCGGTCGCTTGAGGTGCCGTGCTGTTCTGATGGTACGCTGCGCTTTGCGTATCTTTGTGCACAGAGTCGGCGCAGTTCAAAAACTTGGCCTGACTGCTGTTCATGGCCGGTCTTTCGCGAACAGATCCTGGAGGCCACCACGAAAAGAACTGCTCAAAAAGGTAGGTAGACATTTAAGTCCAGCGCACTGCAAGGCGGTCAAAGCTTGCAGGCAAGTGTTCAGAGTGGGCAGTTACGGGGTGCTGGTCCTCTCGAAGCCTGGCTGTCATCGCAAGGCCCACCAGGCGTCTCCATGCAGCGCGCGCCAGGCGCGCCACGCGCGCCAGGTGCGCCAGGTGCTTCCAGCAGCGTTGTTGGTTGTCCACATCCTTTTGGAGCTCGCGGGCGCGGCCTTTTAAAACGCAGCCCACGCTTCTAGTACTCTCCAGCATACCTTTGCAGCCCATCGGTCTCTGGGTTTGTAGCGTGCCATCTTGAAAGAGTCCAATGTATTCGCACTTCCTGAACCTGTTGGTTGTCCACATCCTTTCGGAGAGCATCAGGCCAATATGAGGCCCTCTGCCGCATGCTGCAAATTGCGGCCCGCGTTTCTAGTCCTTTCCAGCAGACCTGCAAGGGTTCACAGCATGCTGTCAGTTGGTGACTTTGCAGCGCGCCGTCTTGAAAGTAGTATTGGCTCGTCCTGAACTTCAGGCTTGTGGAAAAGGTGAAGGCTCCGCTTGCAGCAATCTAGCAACAACGCTGCACTTGCTGACAGCTCCGTGTGCACAATGCTCTGCGCTTGCATCGCTTCAGCCGCAGTTCCGCACAATATCATCGCTAGGCATCCGATCTTCGCCACGCGCATGCCAGGCATGCGCCATGGTACGAACTGCACGCGCTGTGGACATGTTCGTGCGTTCCGGGCCTTAAGGTGCTGTAGAAGACCGAACGCAGCAAGGCCCCGTGTGATGCGCGACGTTCGTGTTTTCAGGTGTCCTCAGCTTGCCCTCAGAACGCTCGCAAGGCGCAAACGCGCAGGCCCTCTGCGGGCTCTGGGCCTTCAACTCTTAAAAATCTACAAACCTAAGCAGAAGCTCGCTGCTTCCTCCACATCGTGTTGAACTGAGCCTTTCAAGCATCACAAAGGCGAGAAGCGCTCAGAAAGCACTTCCGGGAATTGTTGCGCTGCCAGACGTCCAACTGCAGGCGGACAGCGCCCTCTCGAGAGCAGCCCTCGAGTCTCGGCTCTGGACTCGGCCACGCGCCCAGGCGTTTCGGCAGCATGCAGCCGTGAGGCTCCCTTTGTGCCTTGAAGAGCCCTGCTTCTGGGCTCCCTCGCTGGGATCCCCTTATCTCTCTCTATAGGTTCCCTGCGAAAGTGGTGGTAGGCTCCCCTCCTTCACCCGCGGCCCACAAGGTGCACGGGATGCCACGCGGCACTGTGTGTAGTGCGAGTGGGGGCCAGGATGAGCCCTTGTCCAGCCCCCCGAAAAAAGAGCCTGCATCTTTGATGGACCTTTTCCTTTTGCACCGTACTAGGCCGTTGATGCCAGCAGTGCCACGAAGCCGCTTTAGGAACCTTCCTGCTTTGCCTGTGCCCTTTGCGCACAGCCTTGCCAGTGTCTGGGTCGGGTGGGTCTTCCGGACTGGAACTGTTGCACTTCAGGTGGTCCCCATAGTCCCACTGATGAGCCGCGCCATGCGTGCACTTTCGGGGTGTGCAGCTAGGCGCGCCTAGCGCGGGTGGCAGAAGCGACGGCTCAGGCCAAAGGCCCAAGGTCCCCAGGAGTCTCTTGCCTTCGAGACGAGCCCCCCAAACCTTGCAAGGTTTCAGGCTCCACTGTGCCGAAGGCGATAACCCGATCCCTGGCCTGCGATTGCCCTGTGCTCGGCACCTCTGCCTCGCCCTTCGCCCTGGCGCTAGCGAACCTGAAGCTGCACAACGCCCGCTCGCAGGCGCCTGCAGCACCATGCGGCTTCCCTGCCAAGGACTTAGGCAAAAGGTGGATGAAGTGACAACCTCAGGGAGGTCTCGCAAAACGAAGGGGCGATGAACGGAGGATGATCGCCTTGAGCTCCACAGCTGCAAGGAACCTCCCCCGCACCTCCGCGGCATCTTGCCCTGTTTTCGACTTGGCTCCTTTTCTGCGCCTCCACCCTGGCCCCAAAGCCTCACGCTGCCTCCCGGTTCCCCTGCGTCGGAAGAGGCTGGCTCGCAAAGAGGCCAGGGGCTGCATCACTCTACCTCGCCAGCGTGCAGACCTCAGGTATGTGTGCAGAGAAATGTTGGAGGGAATCAGTGAGGAGGCAGAACGATTCGGGCGGCCCAACCAAAAATCCCTGATCGAGGAACTCGAAGCAGGAAACCAGACGACAAACTGGATGCTATCTGACCTCAGAAATGGAACGCTGCAGCTGCACGACATCCAAGCACAAGCGGTCGTATGCTTTGCGCTGTTCAACGGGAAAAAAGACATGTTTCATCGGATCCTCTGAAGCACGAGTTGGCATGCCAACGCTGCCGGAACTTCACAGCGCCGTCTGGGTCTTCAGAAACCATGGGAGCTTCACCTTCCCGAGGTCCAGTGCAATGTTTTACCGTTGCAGCGGAAAGCGACCACCAGTGCCCATTTGCAGAGTATCACCCCGAGAGGAAAATCGAGAGGCTGAATCAGGATGGCCTGGAGTGTTTAAGGGGCGTAGGCGCCCTTTCTGCCAGGTCCATTCGGGACGCAACGCACCCTGTGACCCCCATGAGTTCTGGGTGGCAAGCACCTCTGTGAGACCGAGAGATGATGAAGGTTGATGGCCAGCCCTCAGCCGGTGCTAGGCCGCATGCCACGCATGCCACGGGTTCCGGTCAGCTGCGAAGCTGATTTATCAAGGACACCTCATGCCAACACCTTGTCAGGAGCGCTGGGAGGCGAGGTTGAGTCAAAAGCCGGCTGCTGGATACTTAGGAGAGAGAGGCTGAATCAGGATGGCCTGGAGTATTGTAAGGGGCGTAGGCGCCCTTTCTGCCAGGTCCATTCGGGACGCAACGCACCCTGCGACCCCCAATGAGTTCTGGGTGGCAAGCACCTCTGTGAGACGGGTTCCGGTCAGCTGCGAAGCTGATTTTTTTCAAGGACACCTGATGCCAACACCTTGTCAGGAGCCGGCTGTTGGATACTTAGGAGAGAGAGGCTGAATCAGGATGGCCTGGAGTATTGTAAGGGGCGTAGGCGCCCTTTCTGCCAGGTCCATTCGGGACGCAACGCACCCTGCGACCCCCAATGAGTTCTGGGTGGCAAGCACCTCTGTGAGACGGGTTCCGGTCAGCTGCGAAGCTGATTTTTTTCAAGGACACCTGATGCCAACACCTTGTCAGGAGCCGGCTGTTGGATACTTAGGAGAGAGAGGCTGAATCAGGATGGCCTGGAGTATTGTAAGGGGCGTAGGCGCCCTTTCTGCCAGGTCCATTCGGGACGCAACGCACCCTGCGACCCCCAATGAGTTCTGGGTGGCAAGCACCTCTGTGAGACGGGTTCCGGTCAGCTGCGAAGCTGATTTTTTTCAAGGACACCTGATGCCAACACCTTGTCAGGAGCCGGCTGTTGGATACTTAGGAGAGAGAGGCTGAATCAGGATGGCCTGGAGTATTGTAAGGGGCGTAGGCGCCCTTTCTGCCAGGTCCATTCGGGACGCAACGCACCCTGCGACCCCCAATGAGTTCTGGGTGGCAAGCACCTCTGTGAGACGGGTTCCGGTCAGCTGCGAAGCTGATTTTTTTCAAGGACACCTGATGCCAACACCTTGTCAGGAGCCGGCTGTTGGATACTTAGGAGAGAGAGGCTGAATCAGGATGGCCTGGAGTATTGTAAGGGGCGTAGGCGCCCTTTCTGCCAGGTCCATTCGGGACGCAACGCACCCTGCGACCCCCAATGAGTTCTGGGTGGCAAGCACCTCTGTGAGACGGGTTCCGGTCAGCTGCGAAGCTGATTTTTTTCAAGGACACCTGATGCCAACACCTTGTCAGGAGCCGGCTGTTGGATACTTAGGAGAGAGAGGCTGAATCAGGATGGCCTGGAGTATTGTAAGGGGCGTAGGCGCCCTTTCTGCCAGGTCCATTCGGGACGCAACGCACCCTGCGACCCCCAATGAGTTCTGGGTGGCAAGCACCTCTGTGAGACGGGTTCCGGTCAGCTGCGAAGCTGATTTTTTTCAAGGACACCTGATGCCAACACCTTGTCAGGAGCCGGCTGTTGGATACTTAGGAGAGAGAGGCTGAATCAGGATGGCCTGGAGTATTGTAAGGGGCGTAGGCGCCCTTTCTGCCAGGTCCATTCGGGACGCAACGCACCCTGTGACCCCGGACGACGCAATGACAAGTCAGAGATTGCGGTCACAACGCAACCAGAGTCCAAAATGTCCAAAGGGCACCGAAGACAGCTTTGACGAACTTGCTGAGAACAAAATGAGAGACGCACCTAGCCTTAGTTGACTTCACTCTCGTGCTCAGAGTAGTGTGGTAGAGGGTGCCGACTAACACGTGAAGCGGTCTGGCAGCCTGGGCTCAGCGCAGCTTTCAGTGCCGCACTTGGTAGGTCCTCTGACATTCTCTCCAACCTCTTGTAAACTACCAAGGTTGCAAGCCTTTAAAACTCGAAAAACCATACGGGCCCCGTATCCTTGGATTTATACGGTGTATAGAGGCAATGCGATGCCGCCACAGAGGCTCTTGAAGTTGGGAATCGGCCGGCAGTGTATACTTACCAACATTGCTGCTGCTCTTCCTTTCTACATGGCTTTGCTGTGTAAGCCACTTTCTTGCAAACCCTAAACCCTAAACCCTAAACCCTAAACCCTAAACCCTAAACCCTAAACCCTAAACCCTAAACCCTAAACCCTAAACCCTAAACCCTAAACCCTAAACCCTAAACCCTAAACCCTAAACCCTAAAGAAGCAGCATCTGTTCTCGGATGGAGAGTCGCCGCGGCAATGTCCACAGCGCGACGCCACAAGGCAGAGGATGACAGCGGACTAGATCCTAAACCCGAAGCTCTTCCTTCTTTCATCTTTGGGCCTTTCATTCAGGTAGCCGCTGCACCGAAAAACAGCATGGATGGAACCCGAAAGAGCACTTCGAAGAGCTCATCGACCTTATGTGGCCCGAAAGGCCCCAACTCTCTGACTCTGGAACCCCCCCAAATAGCCCTAAACAACCCTTAAGCCCCAAGCAACCCTTGAATTCCTAAACCCCTAGCCCCCTAGAGCCCCCCCCCAACCCCCCCCCAAAGCAAACTCTGGACCGTTTTCTCCTTCTCGCGCGGCACCCCAGGAAGCTGCCAAAACCTACCCAAAAGAACCGAATCGTTCGGAGAAGAAACTCAGAAACTCCGATGTATGGAATATGCAGTCTTGTCGTGTGTAGAACAATTCGCACTGTTTGGGCATTTCTGGGAGTTTCCTCCTCCGTTAACCCAGGTAGGGTTGAGGGTTGAGGGTTTAAGGTTGAGGGTTGAGGGTTTAGGGCTTAGGGTTTAGAGTTTAGGGTTTAAGGTTTAGGGTTGTTGTATGACATCTCATCCTTGCTTGCCTCCTGTTGGATCCATTCCCTCATCTGCCGACCATGGGGTAAATACCTCGAAAGCCCGTTGCTAAGGTGCTGTGCCGCAGCCTCGGGACGGTTGCTTCAGCACCAATTTGCACCCCCTCTGCACTTCACAATGCTGTTGTTTGTTGTTACGTGGTGTGTCTTGGAAGTGACTCCTTGCATGTCCTAGCAGGTGTCACACACAGACACAACCGCAACCACAACCGCAACCGCAACCCCAACCACAGCCACAACGACAACGACAACCACAACCACAACCACAACCACAATCGCCACAACAACCGCCACAACAAGACAAAGCGGCAAAGCCGAAACCAACAACCAACAAACGACAGACAGCAACCACCACTCATGTGACAGCTTTGTCCTGTTGCTGTTCCCTCAGTCAACAAAAGCTGCTAGGGAGCGTTTGAGCCCGTCGACCATCGTTGCTAATCCTTCAGATGCGTATTTTGAACTGCTGGGCCCTCGGCAGCGGCAACAGCTTGTACACTAAACGAGCAAGGAAGCACCACTAAACGAGCAAGGAATCGGGGGCCGGCTGATGCACCATTCTATATATATATATATATATATCTCTCTGTCTCTCTCTCTCTCTCTCTCTTTATATGTCTTGCTCTAATTCATCCTCTCGGTCTTCAAGTAGCCTGCACCCCCAAGCCTCTTCAACCCAGACCTCCACTGAAGGTCCGTGAAGCGTCCTGAAGATGGGTGCTGTCCGCGGGCCAGGTTGGAATCGAACACGGGCTTGTGACGAATCCTGTTTCGAGCTGCTTTAAGCTTTCCGGCGTGGAGCAGAGCCTGCAGACATGCTGAGAATGCCCTTACATTTAAAACAAAAGGCACTGTCATTCGGGTATGAAATGTCGAATCCGAGACTGTCCGCCGGCCGGCAGACATGATCTGACCTAGTCTTGAGCCTCTTGTTGCACAGACTAGTCAGTTTGCATTTCCCAGAATGCATGGTCTTATCCTATGAAGACGGCAGCCCTAGGAAGCTCCCCGAGAATCTCCATGGCCATTCGCACGGCATTCGTGACACTCTGGAGTGCCTGTGTTGCAGGCGAGTGGTGCTGGCGCAACAAAGGTCAATGCTACGGAAACCAGTATGAACTCACAGAGGTTGAGGCTTTAGGTCAGTTCGAGGAGCTGAGGCCATGGTTCGCCACTGTTCGCTTGGGCGATATAGACAGCGATGGGGACATGGATGCGCTTGTCCTACGGGATGGTAAGCTGTGGTTCTACGAGCGCTTGGGAGGGAATCTATCGGAAGGAAGGCAGGTTCTTGTGAATTTCTCAGGGCCTAGCCTGTCGAAGATACGGAACCCCACGGTTCTGGAATTGACGGACTGGGATGGAGATGGAGACCTGGACGTCATCATGACTGACGAGGCAACAGCGAACGAGTCGGACTGTCCACGTCTCAAGCTCAGGTACTTGGAACATGTGCAGAACGCAAACGCGGCAAACGCCTCTTTCTCCCTGGTTGAAGGTGAAGCTCCCAAGCTCGTTCCATTGTCAGATTTGTTTGAATGCAGTTTGCACATGGTTGCCCAAGTTGTTGATTGGGATCAGGACGGGCGGGAGGATATGCTGTTCTGGTCCCATGAGCAGATCCGCTACTTTCGGAACCGGGGCGGGGAACTTCATGAAGTCCCGGAGGGATCTAACCCGTTCAACGGCCTTGCGCTCTGCAAAGCTTCTGATCGCCAGGAAGTCTTCAGGGTGACTGATTGGGACGACGATGGGGATTTCGATATTATTGTTGCTTGCTACTCGGAGCATTACGCCATGGCTTTTCGCGGAGTCATTTATGCAGAGCAGCTTGCAGACGGGACCTTTATGACAGCACCCGGAGGGGTGGGTTCGGTAATGAGCTTTGGCACAGCGGGTTTCCAGGCAATTGATTGGAACGGAGATGGGCTGACGGACTTATTTACAGGCTCTTCGGTGTATGTGCGAAGCCGCTCCACGGCCTTCGTTGAGAGGAAGGAGAGCATGAACCCCTTCGCTGGCTTGTCGTTCACCGATGGGCGACCGCAACTTGTGGATTGGAATATGGATGGCCATCTTGACTTGCTGGTGGCAGAGCCGGCAAAACTTCGCCTCTTCACGCAAGTGCAAGGCAGACCGGTTGAAGATGACATGGACTTTGATCTTGTTCCCCTTGTCTGGAATGGTGCCAGGACAGGCATCACCGCAGTGGATTGGGACAGCGATGGAGATACCGATCTTGTGGTGACCAGCAGCGATGGTCTGATTCGAGTCTTCGACAACGACGGCGTTCAGCTTCGAGAGCTGAACGCATCCCAGCACTTTCTGGGCGTCTCGGTGCCGCTGAAGTTAAGCCAATGGCACAGGCAGGAAGGGCAGCCCCTGCAGCTGATCGACTGGGACCAGGATGGTGATCTGGACCTACTGCTTGGCCCTGGGGTTGACGGGCCCTGCGGCGCAGCCTTCTTTGAGCAGGTGGCTGGGAAGCTCGTCCGCCGCGAGAACCACAGCTTCTGCGATTTGCCAAGCACAGGCGATTTTCAATCAGACTGGGCTTGGAAGGTCATGGACTGCGACGGCGATGGGGATCTTGACTTGATTCGATATTGGTACGAGCACTACAAGCATTATTCATATCAAGGGGCAGTCTCTTGCAAGCAGGAGGATGGCCGGCTCCGGTGTGACATGCCTTGTTTCCCGCAAAGCTTCCCTGATGACCGGGTTTCTTATGCAATGCGCGGGCTCGCAGCTGGGGATTGGGACAACGACGGTGACATCGACCTCTTGGTCCTTCAAAATGGTGCGGACCAAGAGCCTTACGTAAGAGATCCCGGTTTCTGCACGCCACCTCAAGTTTGCAGTGGACGGGGTTCTTGTTTGGGCTCCGGCCAGTGCTCGTGCAACAAGGATCGGTCGCTCAGCGATTGCTCTGGCTGCGCAGTGGGCTACTACACCTCATCCTACAAGTTCGGCAACCCCCATGTGCACAGCTGCCTGCAGTGTCCTTGTGATTCTGCAGGGGCGGCTTGCGCTGCTCGGGGTGTCTGCGTCGATGATGCCTATGCGCAGTTCACCATGGATCGTGCCATGGATCGTGCCAGTAGACCATATGAGACTGTAGTCAAGGGCAACGGTTCCTGTATTTGCGCTGCGGAGGCCTTTGGTGGCTTCGACTCAGCAGGACATCGGACCTGCACAGAGGGAGGGTGTCCTGCAGGGCATATTGAGACGTACATGAATGTGACGCGCTTAGGGCACCCTAGCATCCACCACAGCTTAAGTTGCCAGATATGTCCCGCAGGGAGCTTTGCTGACAGCCAGGAATGCCGCCAGTGCAGGCCAGGTCGATATGCTACCCTTGGCAGTTCTGCCTGTGCTGCTTGCCAGGCAGGAAAGTATTCTCAGACCCTTGGCGCCAGTGAATGCAAAGACTGTCCCATTGGCAGACACGCTCCGGAAGCCAGCCTGTCATGCTTCCAGGGTGGAAACAGAACTAGCTGTCTTCATGTTCTTGTAATTCTCTTGTAATTTACAAAGCCGAACACAACGCATGAAAACAATTTGCGTCTTTCGAGGGCCACGGGATATCACAAGAAGCAACCCCAGGCATCTCGTGCGACTTCGGGCAGATACCATCCTCAGGCGGTACTTCCTGTGTGGTGTGCAATGGGCAAAGAGGTCTGTTGGTCTACGCAGTTGACGAAACGGGCTTGCAGTGCACGCTGCCCCCTCTTCAATGGATTGCCTTGCTTGCGTTCTTCGTGTCTTTGGTCTGCTGCCTCTGCTTCTCGGCGATGGCCTTCGCATATGTGGTGCCCATTGCTGATATTACCAGGCAGATCGAAGGCAGCGTGATCATCACCAGCCACGGAGGACACTGGCTGCGTGGCGCGGCCAGTGTCAGCTTCAGTTCAACCGGGGTTCCCTGGCTGGATACCATCGATACCCAACAATGGAACGTCAAAAGGGTCAGCAAAGAGAGGCTTCTCCTCCACGCCCACGGAGAAGGCTTCATCGTGGCCACAGTCGGGCATGGGGGCTTGGGGTCTTGCGCTTGGACTTTTGGGGGTTGTGGGGCTATGTGGGGCCTGGGCCTCTAACATTCCCCAAACAGTGTGCACATGTCACCGTTTGGGGTTTAATAACGTTCAGAGCAAAATAAGAGGATTAAGATCGGTGGCACCGCGAAGTGCACGCGCGGCGCACCCGGCCCGTGACACCGGCCGAGGACTTGCTTGCATGTTTTGAATTTTGAAGGACGATGTCTTAGGGTTTAGGGTTTAGGGATCTTCTGCGTGGATTCGGCCTCTCCGAGTGCTCTCCCGGGTGTACTTTGTCTCATCCGGCAGCCTGCCGGATGAGATCTAGCTCCTGCTGCTCCTCCTGGTGGTCTCCTGGTGGGTGGTCTTTTGGTGTCTTTCTTGATCTGCTTTGTTGGTCTCTTGGCGGTCGGTGGTCTCCGTCGGGGTCGTGGTCGACATCCTGGTGTGCGTTTCCAAGATTCTTTCGTGTCTTTGTGGGGTGCGCGCTGGCATTCCTTGCTCTTGAGCACCCTGTCCGGTTGCTGGGACGGTAAGTTGGAGTTGCACTGGAAAGGGGTTCAGATCCGAGCTTCTAGGACTTGGAACCTGAGAGCTGTGAGGGGGAGGAGGGCCCCCTAGTAGTTGCCTTCCTTGCTTCCCTACATTAAAGGTATTCTGAAAAGCAAGCAGAACATGAGAGCTATTTGTGCTATTTGTGCTGTGTCTGAAAGGCCGACCGATGGAGACTTCTGTTGGCTGGTTCAGGCTCGGGGTCTGGACTGCCCTGTGGCACGCAGGCTATCTTAACGTGCCTTTGGCATGTTGGATTCTGGCCTTTGGGGCTGTGGCCTTGGGAGCCGCTCTAAGTGGATTTTTGACGCCGCTGATGCTTTCAGCTGTTGGATTCGTTGCAGTGCTGTGCACCTTAGGTGTTCAGTTTCGCCAGCAGCAGAATTGTGCGAACACGCCGATCAGCGAGAGCCGAACGCGATTCCTGGAACAGCTCCGACAATCTGGTCCTGCTAAACCGATAGCCGTTGAAAGAGGTGCAGCACGTGGGGTGGCGTTGAAGCAGCTCCTGTTTTTTCAAGAGTTCTTCCAAACCTTCATCCGCGACCGGAACATGTACTTTGTGTCATCCAACTTGGTGATCCCCTTGACCGCACGTGATTTAGTGTCCTACGCGGAGTTGGTTGGCCCGAAGGCTCTGAGCTGGTTCGTGAGCCACTATTGGGGCATGACCGTGCGCCACTTCATGGAGGCGCTCCAGCGGCATGGGCACCATGTTGCGGGTGAGGGCCGCGGCTTGGCATACTGGGTCTGCACCTTTAGCAACAGCCAGCACCACATCAAGGAGGAACTGGGGAATGGTGACATTTGCAGCTCCTCATTCTTCAAGGCCATGCATGACAGGAGGTGCCAAGGAACTCTCATGGTTTTGGACGAGGAGGCCTTGCCGTTGCAACGTGCCTGGTGCCTTTTCGAAGTCTTCCAAACATTTCGTCTTTGCCATGAGCGGCGGAAGGAGGACCAGGAGGCCGCCCGCTACCAGGGCTTTGTGATGAGCACTTCCTCTGGGGTCCTCTCCGCCGGCGTCGGCGGCACCGACGTCTGCATGGCTGTGGCTGAGCGCCTGGCGGCGCTGGACTTGCGCAGCGCCGAGGCCACGGACCAGAGGGACCTGAAATTGATCCATGCGCTGGTGGAGAACGCGCCGGGGGGCTTTGAATCTATCAATGCCTTGGTGCGTATCTCCATTCGGGATGCACTCATTACAGTGTACGATCGTTTCCATGGCGATTTCCAAAGACTCATTGAGACGTTGAATGCCAGCGTGCCATCCTCTATCCGCATTGCAGAGACACTTCCTGCTAGTGAGCATTCACTAGTGAGGCTTTAAAGACGAATACTTTTCTTGCTCAAGCAGACATACTGCTTGGGATCTGAATTTTGCTGGTTCAGCGGTGACCGACTGGCCCAGACAATGGCGACAACGAAGATTGCACAGAAGTTGCAAGCAATGTTTTGCTAGGGTGGGCCGGCTCATTGAATGTACAGGAGAAAGGAGTCTGCATCCAACTGCTCTCGCGCAACTCATAAGCAGACTGCGCCGGACCATTGTGCAGGAGTTTGAAAGAAGACGATGCTTGAGATCCCGTGCCCTGAATCTTATGCTGCATCATTCTCACCTGTCAAGTTGGAGCAGCCAACGTGGGCTGATGACTGACAACATCAAGTCCGCCAGCGGCGTTGTAATTTCTAGGCAGCTGTTTGCATTTGCGAAATATCCTGGCTACTCTAGACTTGTTGTCCCTGCTAAAGCTAAGATTTCCCGTTGTCGTCCCCTCAAGCCCTGGACTGCTGACATCTCCCTGCATGCTGCTAAATGCTGTCTTGGGAGAGGTGGCATGTGCCCAAATGGACACACAGATGTGGCGAAAGTTCTCGTGAAGATGGAGGACAACAAGGCACGGTGGGGAGGAGGGCGGTTCTTGTGCGGGGCCAGACTGGACCTGACTCCTGAAAGAGCTGCCCGCAGGTGCCCTGGCCCCCAAAAAGCAGGATTAGGGTTTAGGGTTTAGGGCTAGACTCCTAGACTGCCAGACTTGCGGGAGCAGATCCGCTTGCAAACCTTGAAAGTCCGTCGGCCTGGTAACGGTTCGCTTTGTGTGCACCGCACGTGATAGTGCTTGGACAATCCACCGGGGGTTTGAAATAAACAAAATAGATTGAATAAGCTAAACAATTTATTTGATTTATTTCATTTCTGTGTTTTTTTGATTTATTTAGTTTCTTTGATTTGGGCATGTGCCCAACCCTCGCCAGACCGGGCTCCTGCATGCAGGAAGCGAAGGACAACGTGGGCCGGGAGCCTGGGGTTTGTTAAGCGTCAGTGCGGTTGCTAGCACCGAGCTTGCGGGCGCAGGGAGCAGGAAGAAGAATCATTTTCAGATGTCCGAAGTCTTCCGTCGCGAAGCCATGTCAGCAGTCCGGGTGTTTGGGGCACACCGGCTCAGAGCACTTTCCCTTCTTTTACCCCCGTAAAGCCCTCACAAAGCCTTTCAGGGACTTATGCTGCAACGAATTACAGTGGAGGATTTGCGATTTGCTTGGAAAAAAGGGCGGAAAGCAGTTCAAACTCTGACCATCTTTTACTGCATGAGGTACTTCGCTGCCGTCTTTTGGTCCTGGCATGGGAGTTCCCTGAAAACACGCTGAGGCCAGACGGTGCGTCGTGTGGTTGCCGTTCATTAACAGATGTGGCGAAAATTGGACGGAGGAGGTTTTGGGAAGGCTTCCGCTTGGAGCAGGTACACTTCCCATCCTTCTGAGTGTTTCTTGACAGGGAAGATGACCTCTCGTCGCTGCGCTGTCCTGTCATTGTCCCTGAGCCTCTGAAGCAGAGGGATTTTATGGCAATGCCTCTTCTTGTTCTAGGCTGTTGTATCAAGGGGGCCTCCAAGCTTTGCTTCCCGAGCCAGAGCCCATGTGTGCAGGAGGGCCGGGAGCCCAAGATTTGGCGAGCGGAGGGCGCACCAAGATTCGGCGCCGAGCCGTGGAGAATGCTGGGCTACTCGTAGCCAGCCACGGCTAGCCGGCTGTGCTGGGGGACTCAGCGGCAAGAACGCGGAGTTGTGACTTCGCGCCATTGATGATCATTGATGCACTGTAGTACTATCGGATTTTTTGCAACGTAACACGACCACCTCGCGAACTTCTATGTTTATTGTAAGGGCGACGAACCAAGTTTCACTTAAATGTCTGAGGCTGAAGCTAGAGATCGGCATGAGACCTTGAGGTGCTTTGTCAAAATGTTCGAATTCGGGGTGGCGTGGAGTGCGGGATCAATAGGCGGCGGCACGAATATACAACATTGGCGTTATTGGACAGCCACGAGAGAGCTTGCTGCAGGTAAGCCTGAACCAGGTTGTGTACCGTCAGCAGAGGCAGCTGTTTGATCTGAGGTGCAAGCCACGCGGTGGACATGACGGCGGAATTGAAGTTTAAGTTTCACCGGTGCTTCCAAGGTTAGGGCAGATGTCGAATCATCCAAAAGTGGGAGTGTCACACTGAAATACTTTCCAACAATCTGCCCTGCTTTTGCGGCCAAGCACATTGGCACGATGCTTGTAACATCATGAAAACCCTCATGGCAGGTGCTCTGGACCGGGAGTGTGCGCAGCTCGTGCAGCCATGCAGGTTGGGATCATGGTTTAACAGGGCAGAAAGACGCTGGGCTTTTGGAAGGCGTATCAGTGGCTTGACAAGGTCATGGCTCGAATGAGGCTGTTGCTCACGTCTCCAGGACAAGCAGTTGCCAGCTTGCTACTTGTCTAATTATCAGGCTCATACCTGCTGCGTAAAAGGCCAATTGAGTTCTATGATTGAACCTAAACTTGCCTTGAGAGCCTCCCGCAAGGCTACACAGCAGCCACTTGTCACGACGTCAGCAGCCAGGAATGAGCGAACCCTTACTGTACTTGCGACGGGCGACTGGTTCTACAAAACTGTCCGCATAAACTGTCCAGCAACATACCTGAAAAATGTCGTCCGAGTTCATGCAAAGCTTTTGGACATAGACCAGTCACTATAGTCTATGCTTGATCCGTCTGGAAGCTGGGGCGTGCACCTTGCCATGCATGTACTTCCTGCACTGCCCCGCACTCCCCCTCCACTCACTACGAAGTTGCTCACTGGCAGCTGGTTTGGGCTCACCTCTAAACCTAAGCGGCCGGGCGGGGTCTCCAACCTACTTAGCGAAGGCGGTGCACGCGTTCTCGCTCTGACCAGTGCCAGGCACTTTCTAGTTGCCGTGACCTTCACTAGGCAAGGCAACCAGGCTGGCGACCTTCAAAACCAGGATGAGGAATGAGGTCCGGGAAGCCCTGCAAACAACACCCGCCACCTGAGCACACATGGCAGCTTGAGCCACGAGATTGTTGTTCAAGGCTCCCCTATGAACGTAGGAGAAGAGACACAGCCGTGTTTAATGCAGTCAATGTTGCAAGAGTCCTGATGAGTGGGATCCCTGTCATGTGTTCGATTTGTGGCAGGAGTTGTCAACCTAGTAGTTACAAGAATAAGCCGCCCTCCCTACTGCTCTAATCTGCTACTGAGTTATCGGCGGTGTGCCTGGTCAAGTCAAATGACCATAGCAGTGAAAGATTTCGGTGGGGAACGAGGAAGGCTGTTTTCTGGAAAAGCTTCTGGAAGGGACAGTTCCCTTTTCTGGGAACCTCGTATGAGGTTTGGCTTTGCAAAGTTGAGGTTGCGTGGAGGTTCATGGCCGCAACCATTTAACGCTTCCGCTCTACCATTACAACCCCGCTAAGAAATGCCATCAGCACACAGAAGTACCCATGAAGATGAAAGTAAGCACGGCCAATCTCGAAATTGAGCGGTGGGGATAGTCATTGCTACTGATAGCGCAGAACCAGAACACAGCGACTGAAGACGTTCCCAAAGACAACAGCATCGAAGACGATGTCCCGGATCTCTTGAGATGCCAGTGCTTTGTAGTGCTTTGCAGTCTGGCAGTCTTGGCATGCGCAGCACTTGCAACTCACAACTTTGTGTGCGCGGGTGGGGGGGGGGGGGGGGTCGCGCGGGGCTTCATGGAACCTCACCCTTCATTGTCGGAGCTCCGGTTGCCTGGCTCAAGTTTCAACTGCACGCCTGCATTTCTAGAATTTAATTACTCTGCTGGAGAACAGCTCCCGCCGCCCGCGGTGCCCCGGCTTGGCTGTTTGGGCGTAAGACAAGGCTAGCTGAATTAAAAGCATCATATTTGCATGAAGCTTCATGTTGAGAATTGCCACGGTATCTGTTTTACCAACCTTCATGGTACTGCTCTGCTGTCTACTTTCTACGATTATGCCTCTCTCATGAGCATCGTCTCGTGATTCCAGGCAAGTCGTTGTGGCAATGTCCACGACACGGCAGCGCGAGGCAGGGGATGCCTCCCCCCTTGGCTTGCGCACAGCGTTACATCGTGCTTTCTGAGTTTGGGGGGCGTGGCGTCTAGGGGAACCAGGGAACGGAGCAGAGCGTAGCTCGAGTCCCTACACTGAGTGCTTGGAGCTCGACAGGCTTTGTTCAGAACCCTTATATACCCCAAAAAACCCTTGTTTCACTGCGGCCGGTTGTTCAAACCCCCACTTGTCAGGGGCCACGGCGGAAGCCCCTAAAAGCCTAAAGTAGTCCAGCAAAAAAAAAGCGCCCCAAAAAGCTCTCTAGCTGAGAAGCTCAGCCTGCCAGGCAGCTTTCACCTTCGCCCGCGTGGCGATGGTTGTCGCCCGGCGCCCCAGGAGACTGTCGAGACGCCCCCGAGAAAAACACTCCGTGAGCCTCGTAAATAGGAGAAAGAAAAAACAAGGGGCAAGGGGGCAAGGGCTCCTATTGTGCATATCATTGATATGGTTTCTTCGTATAGATCTCTTTGTATATGTAGAAGTATATATCTACATGTTGATGTAACCTTTTTCTTTGTAGCACGGCAGTCTTCGGTTGCTCGCCAGCTTCGGCCACACTCTTCGGCCGTTCCCAGGACTGGATCTCCCAAACACCAGAGCCCATCCATAGCGTTTTGGGTTAAGCCTAAACCCTAAACCCTAAACCCTAAACCCTAAACCCTAAACCCTAAACCCTAAACCCTAAACCCTAAACCCTAAACCTTAAACCCTAAACCCTAAACCCTAAACCCTAAACCCTAAACCCTAAACCCCAAACCCTAAACCCTAAACCCTAAACCCTAGAGCGCATGGGAGCGATAGCATTTGGGGTTTTAGGGGTTTAGGGGCTCTGGGTGAAAAAAACTGAAGTTCGTGCTTCCGACAGCCTTGGAGGCCATCCGTCCTCTTGGCATTACACAACTCACCGCATCAGACCATCAGTCGCGATCCGTTCTCTATGTGGAAGTTTGCTTGATGTAAACCTCTTCAGATGCTTGCTTGCACATACCAGCCATTGTCCGCTGTCCTTGGGATCCATTGGAGCATCCTCAGCTCGCGCGCCACACTCTCCTCAGGTACTCTGCCGCGGCCTCGGGCGTGGCCCTCGAGGGATCTCCACCGTTTCTATCATGCTTGTCATGGTTCTTCAGGGCTTGTAGCTGGGTTGAGGCATGCCACGAGGCTTCGTACAGTGTAAGTTGTCGCGCGATTTCTGCCTTTTGCTCTACTCGTCATTTTCATGGTGAGTCTTGAGATTGATCTCTGCAAGGTTTCCTTTGTCAAGGCTCCCTGAGCTGAGGAATTCAAGCACCTTCGCGAATAGTAGGACCCTACTTCTGTATGTCCAGATGCGCACACCACGGGGGAAAGTTGCTCCTGGCTTGGAGGGCAAGCAGAAACAAATGACCGTTTGCAATGTACTACAGTACCATGTCACGATTTCAGCGATACATTCTACTAGCACAGTGTGCGTTTTCATTGATCCTGGAAATGAGTGTTGCTGCGGAGGGACGGCAACCAGCCCGCTAAGGCACCGTCACAGTGCTTTCGGCGCGCTGACGGACCCGCCTCGTTTCCAGGTCCACGCGCCGGCTTGCAGATGCCGTACTGCAGCCATTCCTCATCGCAACCTCTTTGGAGATCAGAGCCAAGTCTGCTTTTTGCGTGTGGTAGCAGCCTTTACCATTGCACGGATGCAGCCGTTTCTCAGCTTTACATGTGAATGTAGCAAACTTGGTCGGACAATTTATGTTGCTCCGGCATGGTTCCCGTGACTGGGATGGCACAAGACGTCCCAGTCCAAGTCGAGTAGAAAAGGAAATCCGACATGCTAACCCACTAGGTCATGAATTGCACCGTAGATCTCCATTTTGTGGAGGATGTCCGGAGGCAGGTTTCAAGGTCAGATGGGTAGACGGAGGGGAGCACCGGAACCGCAAAGTTGGAAAGTCGCTTGGTTCAGTCATGTCGAGGATTGCATCCGAGCACAGGCAACCCGATTTCTCGTGATTTCTTGGTTGCTGGGGCCGCTTTCAGGGTTCCTTTGTCATCGAATTTGGGCAACATTTTCTCCATTTTTTTAAGGGTGCTTAAACTGAACTCTTTATAAGGAACAGACATCTGAAGTTTCTAATGCTCTCCCCAAGCATGAACCCAGGTTCTCTGGACCCGGCGTCCATTCATTCAAGCTCTCCGACACGCCGATCAACCTCACCGACTCAAAAGACCCGGCAGTAGCGGCCGCCGCTGGGGGCTGAGGGAATTACCCTAAACCCCTTACCCCTAAACCCTAAACCCTAAACCCTAAACCCTAAACCCTAAACCTGTGGCCAGGGAGTCTGAGTTTCACATCCATCCTGACTCCTTAGGTGGAGAAGCTGCTGGAGAAGAACTTGGGGCACGATGCGGGTGAAGCAAACTCAGTGCCCTTGCCGAAGGAGGCCTCCAAGAAGTTTCTGAGAGCGAAAAAAGTCGACTTAACAGCTCCTTTTCGGGTTTAGGGTTTAGGGTTTAGCAGATTCTTCTTCACATGACCTGTCAGGAAGGTGCCACGGGCAATGCCAGCGACGGCAATGACACGGGCTTCGGTGATCTGGCCCGCAACCTGGAGTTCATGATGCTCAAGGTGCCCTAATTGAGAGCCATGACTCCATGTAGCCAATACCCATTATTACTCTTATTACTATTATTACTACTATTACTATTATTACTATTATTACTATTATTACTATTATTTCTACCGATACCCCGAGCACGACTCGCCCTGTTCCACAGATAGCGCAACTGGAGACGGTGGTGCAATTGCAGCAAACCGAGCTGGTCGCTGCGCATCGCGAGATCGGGGCGTTGAAAAAACACGTTGGCTGCTTGGCGGCTCTTTCGGTGTGTGCTGCTGTTTGCTTCCGCCTGTGGAGCTTGATGTGGATCCAAGGACTAGACGTCCAGCATGTTGCCACGGCGCTGAAGAAAACTCGAGATCCCCATGCAGCAGGGGACGTTCTCAAAAAGGTCTTGGACAAGCATCACCGCCAGCGCGAGACGCGCAACTACGATCCTGATGCCCACAAGGAAAGCTCAAAAAGCTCTAAAGTCCTAAAGTCCTATAGGGTCCTGAGCCATCCTAAACCCTTGCAAGCGTACGGCTTACGAGCTTGCGAGCTATCAAAAACGCGCACCGCTGGCTCAGGACCTGACGACCGAGGATCACTCGAAGGTTCCACCGGCGCGGGAAGAGGGCCTTCTCCAACGCGAGGCAAGGGTTAGGAGATGCTCGTGATGTGCTCTTTGTGTAGGTGGACACATATGGCACATATGGACACATGACACCTGCGCACCTGCGGGTTGCAGACTGCTCGTGTGTAAGAGTGAGGTTCTCAGTGTTCAGTCGGACTGAAAGATTGTGAGGAGATATTCACCAGGATCACCAGGTCACCAGGTAAGATTCTGCAGAATGCAAGGCTTGCACCCGAAACCCTTTGAACCTTCAACCCCTACAGCCCCTACATGTAGCATCCCGCCCTAGCCCTTGTTAGCCCGAAGGTCCGGAACTCCAAGCAGGAAAGCTTGCGAAGTGCTTCGCGCAAGTGGGGGTCTGTGGGAGGTTGGGTGGAAGATAGGGTGGATGACATGAGCAGTGCGACCAGCAGTGCGATCAACACAGCAGTCGATACCCTTGATGGCAATGCTCTGACTGGTGATGCTTTCAACTCGGCATTCGATCAGGTCAAGGAATTGGGCGATACTCAGGCGATTCAGTTCATTCAGAACACGGTGATCGACACCGTGGCGAAGGCAACCCACATTCTGATGAACTTCCGCGGCTTCTCATTTGAATCCAGTTGCTGGACTCACGCCCCCAATGCATGGTTCCACGGCGACCAGTTGCGCGTCAACTTTGGCAAGTTGTACTGCAGAGTAACACTTGTCAGCCGGTCAATCACGCTCTTCAACACCGATTGGCCAGAAAGACACGTGCAGCTGCCCAACATGCTGGCCTACCTGGGTGCAAATGTCATGAACCTTGCGAATCAAGACCTCAATGTCATCCAGAAGATGATTGACATGAGCCATGCTCTGTTGCACAGCGACCACTGCAACAGAGATGACGTCTTCGACTGCATGGCCAGGCGTGTGGCAACAAGCGTCATGCGGTTCGAGCCACCATTGAACTGGCTTCCAGAAAATGTCAAACGGACGGTTAAAAGCATTGCTGGCCACACCCAGGAGGCGATCGACAGGTTGTTCCAGATGATCCACGTTCTCTTGAACACCGCCGGCTGCGAACGAAGTAACACCTTCGACTGCATGGCCAAGCTCGTGGCGAACTCTGTCCAGAGGTTCGCGCCCCCCATGAACTGGCTGCCCCAGCAGCTGCACACCGTTGTCAATGCGGGCCAGGAGGGTGTCGACAGAGTCTTCCAGATGATCCGCGACCTCTTGAACACCGCCGGCTGCGACCGAGCCAACACCTTCGACTGCATGGCCAAACTCGTGGCGAACTCTGTCCAGAGGTTCGCGCCCCCCATGAACTTTCTGCCCCAGCAGCTGCACACCGTTGTCAATGCGGGCCAGGAGGGTGTCGACAGACTCTTCCAGATGATCAGCGACCTTCTGAACACCCCGGACTGCGTCAGAAGCAACGTTTTCCAATGCATGGCCAAACGTGTGGCGAGCTACGTCATGCAGTTCGAGCCGCCGCTGAACTCCATGCCCAGTCCGGTTGGCGTTCTTGCAGGCTCGAACGTCAACTCCGTGAGGAGCTTGATGGCCATGGGGGATGACCTGATGCATTGCCAAAACTTCGAGTCCGGCCATGAAGTCATGAGATGCCTAGGCTTCAAGATCATCGAGCGGGTACCTCCCCTGAGCTACTTGAACCAACTTGGTGACGTGATCGGTGAGCATCTCGAGACCTTCGCCAAGGTGGCCACTTCCATGGCAATGAAGGCTTTACGGGGAGGCACTTCCCTTATCCAGAAGGCCAGTGTGTCGCAATTCCCTGCCATCGGAAACATGCCGGTGCGGCACCAGCAGGGGAATCTGGTCGTGGAGGTGCACTCGCAGAAGATGCACCCCTCTCTCTTGCAGGTCGTGCCGATGCCGAAGTTTGAGCTTGGTGGTGATGTCCACGTCGCCAACTTGATCACCCAGTTCCATGGCAGGGAGGCCGATTCGGGCTCTTGCCTGGCCTTTGCCCCCCGAACCAAGAACGGGGCCCATGTTGGCAACCACCAGGAGGCGACGAAGGACGACTGGACGTCGGCAAAGAAGGAGGACTTCGTCCAGCTGGAGCCATGGGCGGTGCCCTGCGACAACACCTGGATGAAGGAGAGGGATTCTGGGGATTCTGGCCTGCATTGCATGGCCGCACGGCAAATCCCATTGCTATCAGCTGTCGCGACTGTTTCCGCAGAGTTTTGGCAGTTTTCAGGAGTCTTTGAGTTGAGTGAGCCTGAGTGCGTGAGAATTCGTGAGTGGGCGCCTTGTGCGCCAGGAGAACTGGAACAAGTGGCAGGGCTACTCCTTCTACACGGGCGAGCAGGCCATCGAGAAGTGTTTGACAGTGAAGTTCGCCCTGAACATCCAGCCTGTAGTGTCCGTCATCTTGGGCTTGACTTTCGAGCTTCTGCCGAAAGAACTCTTCGAGGTGATCACCACGGTGTGTTGGCCGAACCAGATGCCTGGTGGCCTCGACTTGTCCGTCCTTCGCTCGGAGATCAAAACTGCCGGCCACCTGCTCTTCAGCCGGACCCTAAGGCTTGCGAAGCGTTTCGGCGATCATACAGACTTCTCCAAGAAGAACCTGGGCACCGGATATCAGACCTGGAGATCCTCGCTTGGCATCGGCAAAGGGGAGAGCAAGACTGCGATTGAAGCCATGTCGCTTGTGGACAGCAACCGCAGTGAAGTAGGTGAAGTAGGTGAAGCAGAAGGCGCTGGTGCAAAGACGGAGTCTTGGTACTGGAGGACCGAGCCCGAGGAAGTCTACCTGGCTTCCATCGACTATGGTGACTCCATGGAGCCCAGCAAGACCTGGGAGGCGCGAGGCGAGGATGCGATGCTTCGCTTGAGCGAAATGCAGGAGGCTCTTAAGCACAACCAGGAGGAAGTCATCGAGCTCTTCAGCTTGAAGGCGAAGTTTTTGGGGTTTGGGGTTTGGGGTTTGGGGTTTATGGTTTAGGGTTTAAAGTTTAGGGTCTAGGGTTTAGGGTTTTCCGAGACCCTTGAAGGCAAATTCGTCAAGGTCGAACTTCCACATCCAAGGCCTCCTCGACGGCAACGTCGTGGAGTTGGGCGTCCAGATGGGCTTCGGACCCTTCCAGAGCCCAAGCAAAAGAGTTCCCTTGGCTGACATCGGGGTGCAATTTGCTGCGGTCCTGACTGCAATCCCCTGGATCTCTGTCGAAACTAAGAAGACGGCCATCGCAGCTTTGAAGGACTTTTGGCCAAGGCACGACGAGCTTGTGGAGCGCGAGCCAGCTGACAAGTCTTCCATGGTGGCCTGGTTCAAGAGCGAGGAGGCCGACGTGGCTTGGAAAAGTTCCGTGGGCAGCTGGCAGGCTCGCGCGACGAGGGGCAGCCCCACCAGAAAGGTTGAGGCCGGCCACGGCGCCGCATTTCCTGTTGCGTACCTCACCGGCAACCCCCACACCGGAATTGACTTCGGCGTGATCATGAAGCCAGACTTCACAATTTGCTCAGTCACCCGCTATCTCGAAGGGGGACAACACAAGCGGATTCTCCAGCACAATCAACCAAACTGGCTTCTTGGCCACTGGAATGGATTGGTTGGGGTTTCTTTTTACAACACCTGGCTGAACCAGGATGGATTGCCCACGGGCCTGACCGACTGGCTCGTCATGTGCGGCAACAGCGAAGGGGTTATCCTGAGGGGCCGGGAAAAGAAGAATCTCAATGTCAACAAGATCGTGCCCGTGAAGTCAACCGGAGATGTCCACTTGTACATCAACGACGGCCATTACATGGAGTCCTCGGACTTTGGTGTCATGGAGGTCATCGTGTGGAATCGGGCACTCTCGGAAGATGAGATGTGGACCAGCATGGAGTACCTGAACGCGAAGCTCGGGCCCCTTTCGCCGCTGCCAGCTTCTCCGTCTTCCATGGTGGCCTGGTTCAAGAGCGAGGAGGCCGACGTGGCTTGGAAAAGTTCCGTGGGCAGCTGGCAGGCTCGCGCGACGAGGGGCAGCCCCACCAGAAAGGTTGAGGCCGGCCACGGCGCCGCATTTCCTGTTGCGTACCTCACCGGCAACCCCCACACCGGAATTGACTTCGGCGTGATCATGAAGCCAGACTTCACAATTTGCTCAGTCACCCGCTATCTCGAAGGGGGACAACACAAGCGGATTCTCCAGCACAATCAACCAAACTGGCTTCTTGGCCACTGGAATGGATTGGTTGGGGTTTCTTTTTACAACACCTGGCTGAACCAGGATGGATTGCCCACGGGCCTGACCGACTGGCTCGTCATGTGCGGCAACAGCGAAGGGGTTATCCTGAGGGGCCAGGAAAAGAAGAATCTCAATGTCAACAATATCGTGCCCGTGAAGTCAACCGGAGATGTCCACTTGTACATCAACGACGGCCATTACATGGAGTCCTCGGATTTTGGTGTCATGGAGGTCATCGTGTGGAATCGGGCACTCTCGGAAGATGAGATGTGGACCAGCATGGAGTACCTGAACTGGAAGCTCTCTGGTGGCTGGGGTCCCAAATGATGCCGATTGTTTTAGCTGACTTTGTTGGCTGGCAGCGTTCGATTGGCGCGTGCAGCAACGCTTCAGGCGAAGCCAGCTTTTCGGTAGCACTCTGACTCATGCGGCTCAGCCGAGCCGTGCCCAATCGGTTTGAGGCTTTGCTTCCGACCCAATCTAACGACTCTGAGAAAAGGGAGGGCAAGAATCGCGCAGCTTCCTCTCCTGAGCTTCTCAATACAAAATCCGGCCGAGTGCTTCAGTTCTTGGGTGCTACATGCTTGCAACTCAAGTGACTTCTCATCCCGGATGCTCGTTGTTCGGTCCCCAAGTTCTTTTCTCATGGAGGTTGCATTCCCCACGTGGGGGGCCCCGATATCATTCTTTTGCAGGCGCTAGCGAAGCAAGGTCGCGCCGAGTAAAAGCTTGTTTTTTGGCTGGCTCCCCGCACGACTGACACAGTCCGAAACATGCAGCTTCTGGGTTTTACGTATCTGGTTCCCTTCACCGGTTTCTTCTCAAACACCTTACGAATTCTGCCCTCGGTTTCTCGAAGACATTGCAATGCCGCCTGCCAGGCCCGTCGGCGACATGGTGATGTGCTCAGCTGGAGATGTACAAGATCATGTGTTGATTTTCGCTTGTGTGCTTGTTTTGCATGGAGAGGTTGAGGTTGATCGTTGCACAGAGCGGTGGAGCGGTTGCGCCGTGTTGTTGTATGTTGCCACCATGTGCATTCGCGAGGTTGACAAGGGTTCTGGCGCCAAGATTTCGTGTGTTTTAATGCTTGGAAGCCTCCAAAATTATCCTCCAAAGAGAAGTTTTAAACTGCTCCCATATATGTCTTGACATATGCGATGGTGATCTTTCGTTACCCATGCTCCAATCCTGTCTGTTTGACGCACATAGACATAAGTCACGGATGTCATCCAGACTATGATGCTGGGTTCCACCCACGCGGCCAATGCTGTTTAGGAGGTGCTAAGATTGAGGATAATGACGATGATGATGATGATGATGATGATCATGATCATGATCATGATGGCGATGTTGAGCTTGATGACGCTTGTGTGGGTCTGATGATGAGTTTGCTTGTTATCAGAGCGATGGTGATGATCGTCACGTTCTTGTTTTGGATACAAGGCCTGTGACTGTCACAGGTGCAGTGCAGGCGTGGGTAGGTTCGGAACCGAGCATGGGAAGTTAGAAGTAACCTTAGGAAAAATAGCGAAGCCGAAGAAGTACTACTTGTTCTGACGCAAGCCTGCGCTGCCAAGCTCCCATATTTCGAAGGATTCTGGGGCTTGGGGTACTACAGGGTTAGCCGGGCAAGCTTTGATTCAAGCGTTGATTCTGACTCAAGCCCACTGAGGTTTAGGGCATAGGTGAAGGGTTGAAGTACTGCTGCTGCTTGTTGTAGCCTCGAGATCTCCCGGAGGGAGGACAGAAGAGAATGATATTCGTGCCGAGTGCTACTATTACTCTTACTCTTAGGGTTACTGTTACTAGTACTTTTTCTGTTGCTATCACTATCACTATTGCTAGTAACTCGTACTGCTACTACTACCTTAGGACTATGACTCTGACTATGACTGTTACTGTTAGTGCTACTGTTACTGTTTCCTGTTACTGTTACTACTACGATTCCTATTTTCTGTGTAGTAGTAAAGAGAGATCATGAAGGAGGAGCAAAAATTCCGAGTCCCAGTGCGAAGTTAAGGTTAGGTTTTGGAGACTGTTTCAGCACATGAAACACTGTTTTACAGCCTTCACCTCGCAATGCAAATCACCGCGCAGTGGCCCACAGGACAAACCTGGACTTGGTCTGTGTGACTTCTGGGCACTTCTTACTTCTGCAGATAGTTACGTTGAGGTTTCGTTGCGCAGATGTAGCAGTGGATTCTTTCGTGGCACGCGGCAGTGACTGAGGATTAGGAGACGGCAGGCTGCTAGTTACCTTCGTGTCATTGGACACTCGAGTCCCCCGCGGCGCCACTTGAAGCTTGCTGCAGGTGAGCACCGAGCTGTGCACAAGCAGAAGCACTGACAGCAATGGCAGCTGTTGGGGTCTGACGTGCAAGGTAGGCGGCGGACATGACGGGTGGCAGTGAAGTTTAAGTTTCACCGGTGCTTCCATGGTTAGGGCAGATGCGTCGAATCATCAACAGTGGGGAGTTTCACTCTCAATCCGAGCCTTTCCGGCTATCTGCCCTGCCTTTGCAGCCAAGCACATTGCGATTAAGCTTGCAGCAGCTGGGTCTTCAGGCTGCGCGGTCCAGTCAGCGTCTCATCATGTGCAGTTTTTTCTCATTGCAGCCCCGAGGGCACGTGCTCTGGACCGGGAGAGCGTGCGCAGGTCGTGCAGCCACCCAAGTTTAGACTACTATTTGCTTATACGAGCCCTAAAAGAATAATAAACAACAATCCCCTTATGACCCTTAACAAACAGGAGTTAAAAAAAGGGTTCTGAAGCAAATGGTGGTGGATAATGCTGAACGGCATATCAGTGGATGGAGGTGACGGCTCGAATGCAGCCGCTCAGGTCTCCAGCACAAGTTGCCACCTTCCCCTGCTGCGCACGAAGGCAATTGAGCTATAGGGTTTAGGGTTTAGGGTTTAGGAATTAGGGTTTAGGGTTTAGGGTTTAGGGTTTAGGGTTTAGGGTTTAGGGGTTAGGGTTTTGGGTTCAGGGTTTAGGGTTTAGGGTTCAGGGTTTAGGGTTTAGGGTTCAGGGTTTAGGGTTTAGGGTTTAAGGTTTAGGGTCTTAGGGTTAGGGTTTAGACTTGTGTTGAAAGCTTCCCACAAGGCCATGCTTGTCAGAAAGTCAGCAGGGATGAGCGGACCTTTACTTGCGACTGGTAACTGGTGACTGTGTCCGCAGAAGTACTCAGTCACAGCCTTGGAAAGAATGTCGTCCGAGTTCATGCAAAGGTCCTGGAGTTATGTACTCAGTGCATGTGTTCTTGTTCTCTTCTGCAAGCCCGAACACCATCCAGCACAGTACATGTTAACTGAGGTGTTCTGCGCTCGGCGATGTTACAGTCCGCTTAGCCGTTAACATCCTTGTTCAAGGCCCCTTACGAGCGTATGGAAAGGAGACGCAACCTTGTTTCAGGAGCTCTGGTGGATAGGATCCTTGTTTTTTTGTTTGATGTGTGCTCTAAAGGAAAAGCTTCTGAGGGAACGGTTCCCTTCCCTGGGAATCTCATGTGAGAGGGTTCAACAATGTCGAACTTTTGTTCTCCCACGAACCCCTGCCCCCCCCCCCCCCCCCAAAAGGGCGTAATTGCAAAACGGTATCCATGAAGCTTCAGGGAGCAGTTAGGGGGCCCTTGGGATGCTAGGGGATCTTTATTGCGCTGCTGCTGCCCAGTCGGTAGATTGCGATGATCAGTGCATAGGGCAAGGCGAAGCTTCAGATGTGGCAGCAACACAGGATGAACTTCCCGAGATGCGGGTGAAAATCATAGACACAGCTAGACAGCCTGAAGGACTTCAGTTGTCACGCAAGTTCAGTGCAAGTCCTAAACCCAATGCGCCCCTAAACCTCTGTAAACCCCCCAAACCTTATCAACGCCCTGGACAACCTTCCTCATAATCAGACTTTCGTGACACTCGGGACAGCAAGAGACTGACAGCCATAATTGGCTTTTGTGTCTGAAGACAGTTTGTTGAGAATGGCCACCATGTATGTTTACCAATATTGCTACTGCCTCCCATTGTTCGCAGCTTTCTTGCGCAAGCATGGCTTGTGCCTTTGATGGCAAGTCGCGTGGCATTGGCGTCCACGATGCGACACCGCCAGGCGGGGGTGGGGGCAGGGGTGGGTGCTGGGGGCTGCAAAATGTGTGAAATAGGTGTGAAAAAACGGTGAGAGCGGTCCCTAGCACGAAACTGTATTCATCGGTGGCATGGACATGTTTTAGGAGACCGCGCCTCTAAGAGGCCGTGCGAGTAACCACAATTTCTGTCACGTGACTTGGGACTGCACACCTGCAACTCCAAAGCCTGAACCCCTAATCCCCAAAGGCCTAAACCCTTGCTGTTGAATCGGGGTTTATAAGCAAAACGCGCCCGCGCCTAGGCGAGAGCGCAATTTCAAGCAAAAAATGTGTCCGAAACTTCAAAACAAGACCCCCTAGAAAAAAACACAACAAACAAACGATCCTTAAACCCAAAAGAATAGTCCAAGCAGTGCAAACCCAAATCCTGAAACCTGAACCCTAAACTTTGAACCTTGAACCCTGAAGAAGAATCAACTTGAGGCCACTTTCAGAATCCAGTGCACAAGTCTGTTGGGTTACAACCAAAGCACAATTCCAGAAAATCACGCCTGCGCTGTGGCGAGAGCACTATTTCGAACCTGAACTGCCGGAGCCATAACGCAGAAAAAACATCCCGAACCGAAATCGCCATTTGAAAGTTCAACATGGGGAATGAGCAAAACGTGCCCGCGCCTAGGCGAGAGCGCAAATTCGAGCAAAAAGCGCGTCCAAAACTTCAAAAAAGGACCCCCCGGAAAAAAAACAACAAAAAAACGATCAGGCTCGAGCGAAAATGCATTTTTCCGAAAAAATGACCTAACCCTTCAGTGTTTTCGAGCCCTGCAAATGCTGCGGTGATCACGAAAATGTGTGTTTTACTTGGGTTTTCAGCCCCCGACGCGAAAAATGTAAACAGAGAATGTGTTCAGTCACACGGCCTCTTACGGGCGCCGTCACCATGTTTTACCATATACGGTCCCCTAACTCCAGAGGTGCTTTCATCCTTACAAAAAGGAGGAGGACCCTGGTAAAAGAAAACTCAGCCGTGTAAGGATGGATTGGCGCTCTCATCATTCGCGCAACCAGCCTGCCATGCGCCTGCCGCTGTCCCTGCGCGAATGTGGCCCAGCCGAAGGTCTCAATCATCTCTTTCTGAAGTGTCTAAGCTTCTTATTCCAGGCTTTTTTCAAAGCTTTGCTCCAATAGGTTATTCCCGTGAAAAAAAACCATCACCTTTAGTTAGGACCAGCAAGTGGCCCACAGTCTCGGCCATCTGCAGATGACGCTTGCTTGTTTCGACCATAAACCTTAGACCTTAAAGAAGATGAAGCTTGCGATCGTGATTTACGTTGCAGAGACTAGGGCTCTTCATCTTACCTTCATTTAGTAGCTTGGGCACCCCCATCGTTCATAGAAAGTTGTATCTGGCCGATTGCATAGAGGACAGGTGTGACGTACTAGGCCGCCTAGGCCCAGCACAACAATGATCTGGAGACTGCGCGCAAGCGCCGAGAGTCCCCTATGCAAGAAATGCTAAAGCTTGGGACCCACATGACAGTAAAGCCGGAAAGCCTCCAAGCGCATGGCAATGGCGACGGCCAGCACAGCGGACCGCACAGCTGAGCAACACGGCCTTTTTGATTAGCAACCCCTCTCCCGCAATATACAAAAGCAAAGACAAGCAAAAACGACGCGCGGCTGAGGCCACGTATGCCATGGACGACCTGCGCCACATTGAGGCAACGCGTAATTAAGGCGTAAGGATGGTGTGCGTTCTATAGCAGCCGTTCACAAGACCACCTGCAAACTGCGTTTGAGATGTTTGAGCTGGTGTAGGCTGAGAGCATGACGTTGCGCCACAGGGTGGAGGGTGCAGGGTGCAGCTGCTAGCATTTCTTGCTCCGGACGGTGTTTCGTCGACCTTGTGCTTTGGATCAAACATGCTTCTCGATCATTTCCTTGAACACCAGAACTGCAAAGTAAGCCGAGGCAATCGTCGCCACACAGCCACCTCCAAATGACTCGTACGAGGCTTCGCATCGGGTCAGGGGTGCAGCCTGGGGCAGGCTTCAGGCTTCAAGGTTTGGTGTCAACAGATCAACGCCGCTTGTGAGCTGGAGGGGCCCACGCAATTGAACCAGCTTGCCTTGCGTTGCAGGCGGCCTTCTACACCACCGATTTCATCCGGTTTCAGGCGCAGGCGCGACTGATAGCCCATCCTGAGGCTTTGGTTTCTGTGCTTCTTCAGATCTGGGAGGGTCCCGTCCAGTCTGAGAGGTAGCGGTTAGTGAGGGCTTTGTTTTTCTAGACCGCGAAACTAACAGCAGGCGTTGCTTCCTCCCAACTCCACATTCCAGACGTATCTACACAGATGATCTGCAAGCTGGCCAAACACAGAGGCCTTCTCGAATTGGCTCTGGGACACACGGAAGACCCTTGAAGCAAAGGTTTTCTGGCTTAGATTGCCACGCTTATCTCTGAAAAGGATCCGGCTTGGCTAGGCTTGTGAAACAGTGCTGAAAGATCTTTGATCAAGTTGGCAGGCTTAAAGTGCGGAAGACCACACCAGAAAAGACATGGCCTGACATGCGGGGCTACGCCTACACGAGCCCCAATTCAACTTTAGTTGACTCTACCGGAGTCGCGAATTGCAATATGAGCTGAGATAGCTACAAAAAATGCAGCAACTAAGCTGAGGGCCGAAACCCTCAGTGACAGCCAGCTGATGATCCTTCAAGCCTAAACTGTGTAGGGTCTGATGAGAGGAGGATCCCTGCGGATGGAGGACGCTGCAGCGGAACTTCAGCTCCTTGCGCGCGACTTAGGGTTAGGGTCAAGGCTTTACGGGGGCACTGGCAAAGGAAAGGGTTGAGCGCCTGAGAAGTTTCTTTGTGTTTGCCGGACTTGATACCTACTGTAGTGGCGCACTTATGCGAATTGCCAGCAGTTGTGGGACGATCACAAATTATGTCCATTAGATGGTGAGCGGGTGTAACGGTGGAAACTAACTCTAGGGCTCTGACAACAACCAGGAAACCCTGCCACACTGGAAGAGCAAGACATGCTAGCGTTCTCGATCCATGGTCGCTGAGTCGTGTCGCGAGTGACGATGTTTTTTCGTACTTTCTGAGTACTGCTTACAAGAAAGATAGAAGTGAAGCGGGCCTTTGCAGCTTGCTTTTGAACTCTTTGAGTTTAGTTTCTATGAACTGTTGCATAGATTTCGGCTTGCCGCTTCCAGACAGGATCGCTTGGAGGCATCCGAAACCACCGGTCACACCGTAAGCCACCTCAAGCGCAATTACAGCGTGACTCAGGCTTGCCTCACCGCTGGTATGGAGTCAAGCGGAGGACGCTGCTGGCTCCTCGCCTGAAGATTTGAAGTTAGGGTTTAGGCTCTACGCCCTTGCGCACTCTGTGCATCCAAACGTTGCTTTCCAATAGGTGTGGTAAAAACAGTGCGCTACAGTCGACTGTGTCCAGGAAGTACACACACACACATTTAGCGTTGATCAGCTCTAGCAGCGAACAGCCGAAGAGCCTGCGTTCAGGAATCCGCATGCGTCTGTTAGAAGAGACATGGCCATACACAGCGACACGCGTTACCAACATAGTACTTTGTTGTCTCTTTTTGCGCAGCCCTCGGAAGTAGGACGTGCTTAAGGCCTTTTGCAGTCAACGTGCAATGCCATACGACACGCACCTTTCGAGTATGAGAGCAGAGGCTTGTGTGGCTGGCCTCTCTCTCTCTCTCACCTATATTCCGTATGTTTTCTACAGCTCTCTTGATGATTTGATTGCAGGTCCGCATTGCGCGGCACTGCATGGCAATACGCCATCACACTGGCGGGGCCGACAAGGAGCGGCGTCCAGAAATGGTGTATAGGTTTGTGGCTGGTTGTGGCCGCTCCAAGGCGAAAGCCATGGCCTACCACCAGAGACCGAGAACCCGATGGTTTGGTCTACATCTTGCCCGAAACATATACTGTAAAATCCAACGTGTTTCAAAGCCAAAGGTCTGAAGCATCTTTCGATGCCGGCGCTGATGTTGAGCGATTTCCGGCCATGTGCTTGACATGTACTTTGTGGGGTCAGAAATATCTCGAATCCGGGAGCTCTGTGATCGTTGCAGATCGGGAAACTGATGTCAAGGATTCAGGCTGCATAGACGCCGACCTGTGTGAGCTTCTCGAAACTGTGAACCTTTTGAAATTGCAGGCGTGTAGCTTACAAGGGGGGTAGGTATGTGAGGGGGCCCCAGTGTTGAAACCGCCTATACGAAGCCCTCATGCACATGAGTGGGCGAGTACGCATGTTTGCATTAGCCTGCCTCTTTGCAGGCCTGGGCCGATAGCGTTGGACGATCGGCTGCCTTGGAGCTAGCAGAAGAAGGCCGGCCACTTAGCAATCATGTGTTTCAGGTTCGGGGTTGCGCGCTTCGGGGCAGGCATGAAGATTGTCTTGCAACAGCCCACAGATTGACCTAAAACAAACTCGTCTACGATTTGTTGCACAGATGTCGGCTTTCTGCTTCCAGAAAGGATCTCTTGAAAACAAGCGTCCGAAATCACCCGGTCACACCGTAAGCCACCTCAAGCGCAATAACGGCGTGATTCAGGTTTGCTTGACCGCTGGTACGGCGTCAAGAGGAGCACGCTTTTGGCTCCCCGCCTGAAGATTTGAAGTTAGGGTTTAGGCTCTACGCCCTTGCGCGCTCTGTGCATCCAGACGTTGCTTTCCAACAGGTGTGGTAAATTACACCAGCAAAGACCCCAACAGTCAAGAGTGGAATGGCATGTTCACAGACTACAGCGCACATTAGCTTTACCCCGCAAGACAGAAGCCCGAGACTGCAAAGGTGTCAAATACACGGGAGTGACAAACACCAACATCCACCCCTCAAGTGTGGATGTTGGCCCAACATCCACCCCTCAAGCGTGCATCCAACGTCCACACCTCAAGCGCGGATGTTGGCCCAATATCCACTCCTCAAGCGCGGATGTTGCCCATCAAGCGTAGATGAGGGCTGGATGTTGGGCCAACATCCACGCTTGAGGGGTGCGCGTTGGGCCAACATCCATGCTTGAGGGGTGGATGTTGATTTTTTTCGCTATCTGGGGATCTATGGGGCCCTTGAGGACGAAATCAAAAGCCCTGCAGTCTATCCGGAGAGCGTGGCGAAGTTGCAGGGCCCGGTCCAAATAGAATCGTCGGGCTTTGCAGTGCTTCGCAGTTGGAGGGAACTCTAGCCGTCCTAGACCCTGAGCCCTTGCTGAACACTGTTGAGGGGGTCTTGGGGTTAAGGGGAGAGTTGTTCCTCACGAATCGCCGCTGTTGTGATATGATTCGTGCGGTCGCTCTATTCTTCCTCTCCCTTACAAACATATGCTGACAGCGGTCAGGTCCCCTTG